TTTCCAAATGGGTTCACTTCCCGCTCTCCCCTGTCCCACCCGCCACTTCTATTATTCCAACCACCACCACTTCTAACTCCAGAACCATATCCCATACTACCAGAGCCATGTGCCGGACGCCCATAATCAGGTTTAGAACCAGCACCCCAGCGAGACCCACCATGAGGACCACCAGAAGCAACAAGATCATTGGCTGGTGAAGGAGCATAGGGTTCAGATGATGGTGGCCTATTACGAAGATGTGGTGGAACATATGCAGACCGTTGAGGACGAGATAAGCTGTTGCTAGCAGAAGAACCCGAAGCAGCATTCTCTAAGTTAGTTGCAGAATCTGCCCACGAAGTTCTCATCTTGAAAATTGTATCTAATGTGTATCCTAATTTCCGAAACTAAAACGCCTAAGCCAGCTAAAAAATGACGCGAAATTTGACTCCTCTAAACTAAAATTCCTCTTATTTCCTTCCTCTGTATAAATTGTGGATCAAACCCTAATAAATCACAACAACACAACCACCATCATAAAACAACACAAAAGTCTGGTAAATTCAACAAGGAAAAAATAGTAGAAACAAAGAAGAAAAGACTTCCGAATGATGAAAACACCGCCGCAAAAACAAAAACCTGATTAAGCAAACAATAATAGATATTAAAAACAGGCGCACGTCCGAGAAATCAGTATTCAAACACAAAATTCGCTAAAACTGTTGAGATTACAACCCGTTAAGAAAATCAAACATCACAACACAATGAGAAAGCAAGCAGATCCGGTAGAAAACATCACGACAGACACAACAGACCAATCGAAGAATTGAAACACCATGTTTACTACGGTAACAACACCACGCAAAATGCCAAAAATAAAAAATAAAAAATAAAAAATAAAAAAAAGAAAGAAACGCAGCCTCAACACCTTATCACGGAGAAAGCGATTGACAGTACACAAACAGAGAGCAAGAACAAAACTATACATATAGAAAGAGAAATTAAATAAGCATGTACCGAAATATCTCGGAAGAAACTCGACGGATAACTAAGACTAAAACCCTAAGTTCTTTTTCCCCTTCTTATTCCTTTGGACTCAGACGCGAAGCGAGAGAATCGGTTCTGTTAAGAAGCAATAGATAATCTGGGTGTTAAAAGATGTCTTACCTTTTTCAATACCAGATCAAACTTCAAAAGCTTTTCTTAGCCAAATGAGAGAGACGATGAAAAAAATCCAGCAGTAAATAGCATGCGGGGATAACGGGGCTCGCTACGTAAAACAGGCATTGTTTATACTTTGAGTGGTGAAGTGATATTAAATTATTTTTAAATAAAAATAGTTTTAATAAATAAATAAATAATTGTACTGTATTTATTAAAATTAAATACAGTACATAATTAAATCTTTATTTCGCGTTATATAATTTATAATTAATTAAAAATTAAATGTTATGTCCTTTTTAAAAATTTAGATGGATAAATATTATATATTATTGAAAAAATATATATATAAATTAAAAATAAGAATATAAAAAAATTTAAATCTTATATTAAAATAGAAAATTATGCGAAAGTATTGCATAATTAATACGAAGCTATGCGACTAGAAATTGATATCTATTATCGAGATCTGTTCGAATAACACGGGAACTAATTAAAAGTAATCGACATTTCAATATTGGGAGGCTAAACTTCAATTAATATAATGAAAAATCATTTTATTTTTTTAGTTAGAACTAAATTTTATTTTTATATTTAAAATATCTAAATATATAATTAATAATTATTATATTTAATTTATTTTTTATATTTAAAAATTTAAATAGATAATAGTATTGTAAAATTTATTTTGATATATAACATATAAAATTATAATTAATATTATTAGATTATTTAAAAATAATGTCATGTGGCTTTTTATAGTATTGCTTATATATCTATATAGATTTATGTGTCAGTTAATTTGTATTGGTTAAATTAAATACTAAAAATTAAATTAAAGTTACTTTTTATGTTTTAAAAAAAATATATTGTATAATTAATAAAAATTAAATTTGTAGCACGTTATCTCTATGTATGGTAAATAAATAATTAATTATCTTTAAAAAATTAGTTATTAAATATAAATTATATTATATTTTTATATTTTAAAAATTTTAAGAAATTGCCACATGGCAGTTTCTGAGTTTCACTTATGTATATATTGATAATTATAAAAACCATTATCAACTTAAAAAATAGAAATTGTTTATCTAATAAAAATAATTATAAATATTGAAATAATCACCACTAATATGAAAATGAGATGAGAGCTTGAAGAGGAAGATAATGAATGATTGGAAAGGAGGATAACTTGAGATGACGGCAAAGAGGGAGGATCCAACGGTGGGATCAATATTAATATTGATAGTGTGGTTCATAAAGAGACAAAACTCATATGCCTTGTTTAAATGCTTCAAGGGATGAGATTTGGGTGTTGATTATTCATGAGATTAACATATTCAATAATATCAATTTTAACAATAAGATGTCTAATTATTTTATTTATTACTAGTATGAGACTTTTGTGGATGTAAATTAATATATATGAAAATTGTAAAAGCCCAATACTCAATAAAAAAGAAATTATTGAATTGATAAAATAATAGCGAAAACAGTTATTAGTTTAGGGTTTACATTCCTTACACAATAAATCAGGATACCCAATAGGGTTACGAGAATGTTATTTTTTGAAAATTTAAAATAACGAAAATAAAAAATAACGTGACTAAAATCTTATAGGGTTAATATCCGCTGGATAACTCTGATGAGATGCATGAAATAATTTTTAGTTGCAACTTTCTTACTGTTCAATATTTAGATATCAGTATTCCTGAACTGAAATTGTTAAAATAAAAATGATGAGTTATATTAGTCTAGTAAGAATGTCAACACTTAACATAGATACGAAAAATTAAAAGTTGGTAAAAATTATAAAACAACTAATAGAATCATTATCATTTTTAAATAAATTTATTTAATATATAAAAAATCGTTATTTTAATACTCACTTTTTTGAGTTTTCAAAACCGGCCTACAAAGACAATAATCATGATAACATTTTATTACACATGTAAATGAACAATAATAGTAAACGTTATTTTTTTATCTACTTACTGGTACCTATGGGAGTCAATAGGGATTCCCTTTACGCATGAACCCAATATTTAATTTATCAATTAACCGGCCATTTTCATACTCTATTCAGTAATGAGTGTCAAATGTATCACCGCCTCAATACTCAATCCGGTATGAAAGTGAATTAT